TTGAACCGCTTGTCATCAAAGCGCTCAAGCAGTACACCACCACCACGTCGGTGCAACTGCAGCGACAAGTCTTGGATCTTCTCGCTCAGCTCGTTCAACTGCGGGTCAACTACTGTCTCCTGGACTCTGACCAAGTGAGTGTCCAGCCTCTGTTGCTGCAGGACGAGGGTCGTCTCCTGCAGTCAGCCCATCGTGGTCTGTTGTGGGAGAAGGACTGGCAGAACCCAAGGGCGGAGTTAAAGGAGGAATCAGCCTAGAATTGCTACGTAGCCATAAAGGAACCAAGCCCAATCCCCCCCGTTGGGCACCATTGACCTTTATCTAACTAAGCAGATGCTGTCCTTCGGTCGAGAAGATTCCTGCGCACAGGCCTTTAGCAATGGAGCTGCTGAAACTGAACCTTCATTGGGGAACTTGGTCTTCCATGCCTGACGTCTGTCCACTTCAACTCTTTCAGCTCCCTAGAAAACTAAAGCAGGGGTCCCCAACCCCTGGTCGGTGGACCGGTAATGGGCCGCGGCATGCCAGCAACTGGTCCGCACAAACAAGCAAAGCCCCATCCGCAAGATACAGGCAGCACCCAAAACCACGCACCCTCCGGTCTGCGGGAAAACCTCTCTGTGTGGAACCGGTCCCTGGTTCCCAAAAGATTGGGGACCTCTGCTCTAAATCAAAGGTCCCCAACCCCCAGTCCATGGACCAGCACCGGGCCATGGCATGCCAGCAACTGGTCCGCACAAACAAAGCCCCAGCCACAAGATACAGGCAGTACACAAAGCCACGTACCCTCCGGTCCGCGGAAAAACCTCTCTCCACGGAACTGGTCGCCGGTGCCCAAAAGGTTGGGGGAAAGGAAAGGTGTGGTCACCTTGAGGCAAGATGCAACATCTTGAGCCGTTTCATAGTCCTCGTACAGTGACGACAGTTCATTTAATGACCCTTCCAAGTTACGACGGCACTGAAAAAAAAAGGACTCACGACCATTTTTCACACTTACAACCATCGCAGCCTCCCCGGGATCCAAATTTGGACCCTTGGCGACGGACTCATAGTTAACGACGGTCGCAGTGTCCCTGGGAGTCACGGGGTCCCCTTTTGTGACCTTCTGACCAGCAGAGTCAATGGGGGAAGCCAGATTCACTTAACGACCGGGTTACTAACTTACCAGCTGCGGTGATTCACTTAACAACGGTGGTAAGAAAAGTCATAAAATGGGGTTAGGGGAAACTCGCTTCACCAATGTCTCGCTTAGCGACATAAATTTTGGGCTCAATCACGTGACCGTGGGGAAGCTGCGACGTCTTAAGCGTGGGGAAACGGTCATAAATTGCTTTTTTCCCCAGTGTCGTCATAACATTGAGCGGTCACGAAATGCAATGTTGTAAGTTGAGGACTACCTGTATTTTATATCGGTCATTGATTGTAATAAAGAACCTCCCTCCCTCTCTGTCCCTCCCTCCCTTCCTCTCCCTTTCTCTCCCCCTCCCTCCCTCTCTCTCCCTCCCTCTCTCCCNTCCCTCCCTCCCTCCCTCTCCCTCTCTCTCCCTCTCCCTCTCGCTCCCTTTCCCTCCCTCCCTCCATTCCTCTGTCTGTCTCTCTCTCCCCCTCCCCAAGGAAGGAAATTTGTGCAATCAGAAATACCTTCTCTTTCTCAAAGCTAAGAGGGGTTTTGCCTCCCTCCATGTCCAAGATCCGACGACATGACGGACATTTGACAGTTGAAGTCCTGCTCGCTTCTTTTGTGCTTCGTTTTCTTTGACATAAGTACGAGTGGCGGTTAACGAGCACCCAGTAATCAGTTGTTTATTGTTCTGGTCAGATGTCACGGTCTGTTTTGTTTTGATTTGTGCGGAGACAATGCAAGAAGGTACTGCTCTCCGACGTTTGCAGAAATCACATCTGGATATTTCTTTTGCTTCTAGGTTTTTATTGGATTTGTTCTAAAGCAGTTTGAATACATTGAAGTCGGCCAGTTCAGGTACAGAGTTCCATCTTCTACGTGTTTCCTGACGTCTTCATGCGAAACGGAGGCTGTACCCCAAAACGGTCCATTCTGAGCCTTGTTTCTCCTCTTCTACACCTCTATGCATAGGAGTCCATTCAAGTGATGGTCAGCGCAATCTTGGCATTAGAGAAGGGTCAGCGGAATTCAGGAGGGGTTGGATTAGTCCATTTGTAGCTCCGTAGAGATTCTAGGCTGGTTCCTCTTTTGACTCCACCACCCCCCCTGGCTTTGTCACTCCTCCTCCTATGTTCTATAGGTGAAGAACAATAAAGGAGATTACAGATAGTCCTTGCCTTACCACACTTCATTTAGCAACCAAGATAAAAGATAGATAGATAGATAGATAGATAGATAGATAGATAGATAGATAGATAGATAGATAGATAGATAGATAGATAGAAATAGAAGAGAAGAGAAAGATATAGATGATAGATAGATGATAGATAGATAGATAGATAGATAGATAGATAGATAGATAGATAGATAGATAGATAGATAGATATAGAATAGAATAGAATAGAATAGAAAGAGAAAGATAGATAGCTGATAGATAGATAGCTGATAGATAGATAGATAGATAGAAAGGAATAGAATAGAATAGAAAGAGAAAGATAGATGATAGATAGATAGATAGATAGATAGATAGATAGATAGATAGATAGATAGATAGATAGATAGATAGATAGATAGAAATAGAAAAGATAAAGATAAAGATAAAGATGGATGGACGGAGAGAGAGACAGAGAAACAGCGAGAGACAGAAAGAATGATAGAGAGATGAGACATAGTTAGTTAGCAATAACATTTAGGCTTACTGTATATACCGCTTCACAGTGATTGACAGCCCTCTCTGAGCAGTTTACAGAGTCAGCCTCTTGCCCCCCACCAATCTGGGTCCTTGTTTTACCGACCTGGGAAGGATGGAAGGCAGAGTCAACCTCAAGCCAGTCAGGATCGAACTCCTGGCGGTGGGCAGTCAGCCTGCAATACCGCCTTCTAACCACAGTGCCCCCAGGGCTCTTTGAAGACCCCCTCCTCCCATTGTAATGGTGCCGAGGAAGTCCAAGGGGTCTTTTTCTTCTTTCTTTTCTTCCCCCCACCCCCAGGGAATCGGAAGCCATCATTCCCAGCGTCTTTTTCTTCCTGGTGCTGTTGTCTTACGAGCGCTACCACTCCAAGCAGATCATTGGAATTCCTAAAATTATTCAGCTGTGCGACGGGATCATGGCCAGCGGAAGGAAAGCCGTAACACACGGTGAGCAGGGACATCGGAAGTCGTAGAATGGGACTCCTCACGGCAGGAGTTGTTCAACGTGGGCAGGCCCTTAAAATTTAAAATAAAGTTAAAATAATAAAATAAAAATAATAAAAAAAAATAAAAAAATAAAATATAAAATAAATAAAAAAATAAAATGCATTTTATTATTTTGTTTTATTATTTTATATTTTATTTATTTTATATTTTGTTATTTTATTTATTTATTTTAAAATAGAATAAAATAAAATAAATAATAAAAAATAAAATAATAAATAAAATAAAATATAAAATAAAATAAAATAAAATAAATAATAAAATAAATGAAATAAAAATAAATGAAATAAAATATAAAATAAAATAATGAAATAAAATATAAAAATAGTAAAATAAAATAAAATTAATAAATGAAATAAAATATAAACTAAAATAGTAAAATAACATAAAATTAATAAAATAATAAATGAAATAAAATATAAAATAAAATAGTAAAATAAAATAAATAATAAAATAAATGAAATAAAATATAAAATAAAATAGTAAAATAAAATAAAATATTAATACATGAAATAAAAATAAATGAAATAAAATATAAAATAAAACAGTAAAATAATAAAATAAAATAAATAATAAAATAATAAATGAGATAAAATATAAAATAAAATAGTA